AACGATGGCAAGAGTTTTAATGTTCGTCGATAGATGTCGCCACCGTGGTACTGATTTAACCGCGGAACACATAAACAAAGCAGAGGAGTTACTCTTGAAAAACGCACAGAAAGAAAGCTTCACAAATGATATTAACCGTCTTATAGCTGGCCAAAAGTTGTCTAACAGCAGTCGATTACGAAAACTGGATCCATTCATAGACGAGAACGGCGTATTACGAGCGAGCGGGAGAATAAGGGCAGCGGGTGTGTCCATTATTACTACTACGCCAGTAATAATGGACGGCAGCCACCCGTATGCGCGGCTGTTGCTTCAACGCGAACACCGTCGCGCCCATCACGCGAACAATGAACGCGTCGTGAATGATGTTAGACAACGATATTGGATATTACGATTAAGACCAGCGGTGCGTGCAGTGGCTTATAAATGTGCTTTCTGTCGCGTGAGAAAAGCGATACCTACGAAACCAGTACACGGTGATCTACCTCAAGTAAGATTGGAAGCCTTTATCAGACCATTCAGTAATTGTGGCGTCGATTATTTTGGCCCTCTGACGGTGACAATAGGAAGACGACATGAGAAAAGGTGGGGGGCGCTATTCACATGCCTTTCAACCCGCGCCGTGCACATCGAAGTGGTGGGGAGCCTGTCTACCGACTCCGCGATTATGGCACTACGACGAATGGCGGCGAGGAGGGGGTGGCCTAAGACAATGTATAGTGACAATGCGACGAATTTTAGAGGTGCCGACCGTGAGCTACGGGACGCATACAATGAATGGGAGCCGGCACTACGAGACTATGCGCTTACACAACGAGTCGACTGGCGTTACATATCACCGGGCGCGCCACACCAAGGAGGCGCATGGGAACGTCTCGTTAGAAGTGTCAAGAATGCATTACGAGTGACGCTACATGAAAAATCGCCGCGAGAGGAAGTCTTAGTCACACTACTGACCGAGGTCGAATACACTTTAAACGCTCGACCTCTGACACACGTACCAGTCAATATTGAAGATCCAGAAGCACTCACGCCCAATCACTTTTTATTGGGTAGTTCGAACGGCCTGCCCTTTACCGGGCCGTGCGAGCGCGCCGACAAGCGAACCTGGAGGGCAGCACAAGCGCTGGCCGATGAATATTGGCGTCGATGGCTACGAGAGTACCTTCCCATGCTCATACCACGTGGAGGTGCCCGCGACGCGGGACGTCGTGCGATACAAGAGGGTGACTTGGTTATAGTTGTGGATCATACACTACCCCGCAACATATGGCCAAGGGGCGTCGTCACCAAAGTATATCCTGGACCAGACAACGAGATACGCAATGTGGAGGTGAAGACGAAGGGCGGCACGTTCCGGCGACCGGCGACGAGACTGGCGGTCCTGACGATGGAGTGATGGGGCTACGCGGATGCTGCGCCGGGGGGAGCTCTGTTACGGACGCACGTCTCGTCGAGTTGTATATATTAGATGATCTTAAGTAAATTATATATAATAAGTAAGTTTAGTTAAATGAATGTGGTTAAAGCTTAGAATTAAATGATACAACCTATGGGTGTATTTATTCCCCTAGTATTAAGATAATTTAAGTTATAGCAAATTAAATTATTGTGAGGGGTTGGATTTTATTTGATATGGTTTTCTATAAGGTATTGCCTCGCTAAGGAGGCTTAGGTAGCTCTCTGTATGGTATTGCTTCACTCAAGGAGGCTTATGTGGGTTTTCTATATGGTATTGCCCGAGTCAAGGGAGTTTATGTGGGTTTCTATACGGTATTGCCTCGATACAGGGGTGTTTAAAATGTAAAATGTTCGACTACCTTCATGTTAACGATAAAAATGTATCGGAGCGAGATCTTCCGTCTCGCTCTGACCACATAAATACATCGGGCAAGAGCGCGGCGCGCCTTAGAATGATTATGAGCTTCGACGGCGCGGTCTTGCCCGACACGATACGAGTTATGTAACAATAATATGATGATGTTTTAACGTGATTTATGATGTAAATGTAGAAACAGTAAAACGTAGTAATTAACAATAATGTGATACATAGATGTTAAGGGTGGGGGATGGCTTCGCAAAGTAGGGGTTAGATGTGTAATAGGCTAACCAACTGATAATATACGGAGCTAAGTGCGAGCCACCCCAACAAATGTAAGACGGGTCGATTTGAGCGAAATTTGTAAGCTCTCCGGCCCTCAAGATTTAAGAATAAAGAAGAAGTGAAAACCATCGAAGGAAGTTTCAATTATACAGTCCAAGCATCGGCTAGCTACGTGTAAATCTGTTCAAGATCCAGGAAGATCCGCAACACCTGTTGTAACCAGCAATTCTGGCATTTTGATTTTAATAATTTATTCTTGCGCTATGTTTAAAGTATTTCATGCTATATTCAAATCCTGCTCATTAAATCCCTTTCGATTTGTTTACACGTGCCATTAATGAGAATCTGATAGCTATCGTAGACACGGAGGGTATCAAATAAAACAAAAACAACTATATAACTTCCAGTGGAAAAGTTTGTGCCTGTAGGTTTCGAATTAAATGCCTAATTATCCACAATCGACTGTAACTTATTATGCTAATGTTTAAAATGTAATGAGTATATAACATTTCAAAAACCTGACCTGTGAATTTAAAAATCTATTACATTCCCTTTCATAGGTAAAGCGATCGTGATACAGATTTATGGAATTACGTCGTAATCGCTGATTTGATTGGTCAAAAAACATAATCGAAAGATCGTAGTTAGCATTCAACTCTAGTTTGACATTTTTTAATAATGATATTCGCGTCCGACGCTAAACATGGACGTTTTTGAACGAACGAATCGCAACTTGCAAAAAATAACGTTGTAACTTTTTAAACGATTAAACCTCACTTTTAAAACGGTTTTTCAACGACACACATCTTTTATTTATCGCTCCCAAAATTACGCAAAATTTCCAGTAGCTTAAGCCATGAATAACTTAAACTAAAACTGGTGTTCGCTATCCGGCACATAGACAATTCCAATTTACGTTAATGATAAAATATTTATGACATCTTTAATTTCATATCTTAAAAAAATGTCTCGACCGCAATCGTTTTCACATGTCAAGGAAACATGAACATGAAAAGGATTTCGACCGTGAAAACACAATATGCCCCGTATCAACTATAGTTTTTATAGATACGACCTTTTTTTATTTTATTTTTTTTTTATTTCAGTATGGACTTGTTCCGTTATACACGGAAATTTTGCCAACATCCCTTAGTGGATACGACCTTTGTAGACCTAATTAAAGATTCCCTACAGTCAATAACACGTTGACAATATCAAGTTTTTACAATTAATTTTCGTACGTTAATTACGTTGCGTTAAAGTCTAAAATCCGTTGCATTAATTTGTCGTTTTGCGGTAACAGAATTTTCTTGTGAAAATTATTATTATTTCTTTATAATTAGATAAAAATGCGATTTTATGGCTCAAAATTGAACTATTTCTATTTGATTAATTTAAATATTATTTTTTCTGTAAATTTGTGACTTATTTTTTGATACCGAAACTGCAACTTATCATGAGATAAATTTACCAAAAAGAAACTTATAAAGGTAGATAAAGTATGTACGGTTATCGTTATAACAGCTGCCTCGAACGAGTTATGACTATGTAAAAATTATACAAAATACCGCCATTGCATGTATTTTCAGCCAGTAACGTATACTTAGCGGTTAAATATAATGCCGAAATAACGAAAACGTGAAAGAAATGTAAAAGAATTATGGCGGTACTAAATGCATATTTCGCGTCCGGGACACAGGGAAATTGTGTGTGAAACAGAACGGACCGCGGTATAATTATTATTATGTTAAGTTCCATTTTCGTTTACATACGTTCACGTACTTAAGGTGTAGTTATACGAATTTCGCGAGTTACTAATGAAACATCGCGACTGTACCAGTTACATAAACGAATGTCATAAAAATATTGGTGGTATACATACTTGCTTAAAAATGAAAATATTTTGTAATTTATTCATAAGATTGTATACGGCTCGGTGGCGTAGTCGTTAAGCAACTTTCGCAAGGGTCGGTCACGGCATGGGTGACCAAAAAGGCCTGAGCCCCTGCAGTGGGGACGTAAAAGGGCTGGTGATGATGGTGATGATGATTGTATACGGCAAAAAAGCAAAAAAATGGTGATTGTGATGTTTCCCGTAACTATTTAATTTATTCTGTTTTTAGTATTTGTTGTTACATTGGCAACAGCAAATACATTATCTTGATTGATGAGTCTAGTGACAAACAGACAGATAACATTCTTAGTCATATGATCCCTTTTTCACCCTCCTAAAAAGGTTTAAAACTTTCAAGGAAAGTGAAAAGGAAAAGGTCTCGAGCGGGAATCGAACCCGGAACCTTCAGTGATGGCGACACCTTGAAATTAGACACTGCTACTGAGGTCGTTATTTATACTGTTAGGCTATCTAATCTGTTGTTAATGTTTCACATCTAACCCTGTATAACATACGCGAAGGTCACTACCGTACATCACCGCCTTAAGTTCAATTTTTATCACGTAATATTCACGTGCTTAAATCAACGTTGCAGAGTTGATTCCCATAGGACTTGATACTGCAGTATCAAAGAGTATATCACGTTTTTACAATTTGCTATGAGACGACAAGTATATCATACATATTTTCGAAACAAAGTATAAGCAAGAATGTATTTTATTGTAGGTAGACGAAATCGCCATACGACGTTTCTGCCCCGGTTAATAAAAATCCAGGCCTGCACGGATTTTTATTAGTTTCACGTTCACACTCGAACGTGAAACTGTAATACGCCAGTGGTGTGAACAAAATAGTCCAACATAGTCCAAGTTGTGACTTTTCACCCTAACAGACTTGACTGGATGTATAATATTTGACTCAAGGCATTCCTTAAATCCGGGTAGTTTTCGAATCCCATGGTTGTTTAGTGTATTAATTATTAATAAGTTTCTTTGTCAACAGACTTCATGTCTCTGGAGTTAGTTGACGGGTATCCAGTCCTCCTAGTCAACTACGGCTCCGGAACTACCCGCCTAAACAACAGTGTAGTACACGTGGCAGATGGCAAACCACACCTGATCGAAATAGTGCTGATGAGGAGCTCAATTGAAATGTTTGTAGACCGATGCAAGCTGTCCACTTGTATGAGCCTCGCTGCCCCTACTGGACCACGGGAAATATTAAATGGTGAGTTTTTTTTTTGTTATTTAAAACTGTGAAATAAGAAGCCAAAACCAGATTATAATCTTAAAATGGTCAAAACTAGGCCATCGGCCATATTTTTAACTTTCAATGTAACACTAATTTGACTAAGGTTATTTTATATAGACATTTTTTTATTAATAAAATTTATTCGCTTAAGTTACTTTTTGCAAGTTCATGCCAACCCACGCTTAAAAAATTTATAGCAACATTATTAATTTTGCTTGCAACACTTAAAAGCAATACGGTATTCACTTTACTTACTTTATTAATATTACCAACAAATTGGTGTTTTCACCTCCTTAATACATAAGCTGCTGCTTTTAAACACAGCTTATCTCAAAATTAGAAAATATATTTTGTATACAGAATTACTACACCTTCGAATATGCTCTTACAGTCTCATCGTATCAAAATATATTATTGTTTATCCATACTTAATTTGGATGTTATGAGTCAGTGAAAAATTACATTTTAAGGGGAAACAATGGTTGTATCTTAACCATGTCTGTTGCGGTTTCTGAATGCAATATAGAAGCACTGATAACGCTGTAGCTACCCGACAATTGCGAATAAATAAAATTGTCTGAATTTTTTCTACAGTGAACGGGCCGCTTCAGTTAGGTGGCGCTAGCATCGACCTCTCGCATCTCGCTCACTCCTTCGGCTGGGGTCACGTGCCGAGCAACCAGCATTTCGTCGGATGTATCAGCAATTTTACGTACAACGATTTTGTAAGTTAAACATCGCGTTACTCTGAGCTGATTATTTGATTGAAAAATTAAATTTGCTTAATTTTTTACTTGTGGCACTATACAATAAAATATTCAGTTCATTATTTCTATTATTTTTTGAGTCAAAATCAAGCACTTTAAGTTTTAAATATCTTCCAGTACCATTTCTATAAAGTAAATGATTACATTAATGAATGAACGTCGTTTATTCGACTGTTTTTTTATTTGATACAAATAACTGAATAGTAGTAGCCAGTCATATATTCAATGCCTTTATTGTTTAAATAAAAAAACGTGTATCATGTTGTGTTTCTTTTCTCTTGCCAGATGTATAATTTAGGCGAGCCCTCAGTCCACCGCAACGCAGACCCAAGCTGTCAGAAGAGCATGTTCACAGCTGTCACATTTGGTATCGACACCAACTTTTTAGTGGCAATATTAGTTTGCATCACTATATTAGTCAGTGAGTATAATCTTTAACAATACATACACTAGCTTAATCTCATGTACATGTTAACATGGATATGACTTACAAAATGTGAAGTTAAAGTTTCTTTTTTAATACTATTAATTAAAAATCTAAAACTAATTAAACTTCATATTTTGATACAAATTGTTAGTGTTTCGTTTCAATTTATTTTTATATAGTTACTTTAGGAAAGGTCTGTGCCCAAGGAATGGGAACAATAATAGACCGTGATGATAATGCTCTTAGCTCATCTACTTTTAAGTTATTAATGTCACATGATACTAAATAAACACCTTGTTCTCAGTACTCCTACTGGCCGTGGTAGTTCATCGGCGTAGAGCAGACGCTTGGGCCGAAAAGGAACTGGACGATATAAGAGAGAATATCATAGCTTATGAAGACGAAGGTGGCGGCGAAGGCGATGCGGGATACGATCTCCACGTACTGAGGCAGATGTATGATGGACCACCACCTGATACCGACCCCACGTTTATGCACGCTCCTGGTGAGTGATATTTTTATATCTTAAAATTTGAACCTTATCTATTGGCGTTTAAGAGTTGTTTTTACTATGAAATTCTATTAAATGATGGTCCACCATGTTGCATTTTTATAAGTGTATGCAAACATATACCTATTTCTTTATTGCATAAAAATAGAAGGAATATGACGAACTTAGGTCATTGACGAATTTCTACCAGTAAGGGTGTAAATAAATTTTTAAATGAGTTCATAGATTTATTCATTGCCGAGTTTCTTACCGGTTCTTCTCAGCACAAGGTCTCCTGCCATCAATGTACGAACCGATGGCTTAGATCGGCTATCACGAGTGCCTGTAACAGCCTATAGTAAATTAATGAATATTAGTTCCGAAAATGTTTTTTTATCTCTTATTGTTTCTTTAAAATTTTCATTTTAACGGTCAGGTGCTCAAACGTCCATTAAAGTTAAATGAGTCCTTTAAGTTCTAATGAATGTCAAGTTTGTAACGGTAATGTCGCATAAAACTAAAGAATATTTTAATGGACGTTTGTGCAACTGGCTGTAAGAGAACTATCGAATTAACGATGTACTATTAATTCTCGTCCTTGCCCTACATTAATAACGTTTATGTTAATATAAGTGGCACTTTTAACAGGCTTAGTGGGTGCGGCGCCGGACATTTCCGGTTTCCTCGATGACAAGAAGTCCGTACTAGACAGGGACCCTGATATCAACCCGTACGACGACGTACGTCATTACGCGTACGAGGGAGACGGCAATACTAGTGGGTCTCTCTCGTCCCTGGCTAGCTGTGAGTACTTTTTACTTATTAATTACTAGCTGACCCGGCGAACTTTGTACCGCCATATTATATTTCTCCTATCGAGATTGAGGATTTTTTCAAAATTTTCTTGTATACAAACATTGTCCTGATAATAAGGAACACATATAAAAATAATCATTCAATTTGATGCTTTAGTTCGGCTTAAATTAATTATGTAAAAATAAATATTTTATTACTTAGCGCGTGACGTCACGCCCTTCTACTCATATCAGAACTTGGAGAAGTAAATAAACCTTGTGCATAACTATACTGATATTAGTATTTAGAGGTGCGTGGCGTCATAGCGAGGCCATGTCAGAACTTAGCGATTATGCAGGAAATTTTGAAAATTAAATTTATTTTTAGATTTTAACCTATTTTTTATATGAATCATCCTAGTTTATATATTTTTTATATATTTCATGTATATCTTTAGAATGCCTATTAAATTAGTTGTCTGCACTCCTATTTTTGAGTAAAGACTTATTTAATAATTTAATTTTCATTTATTAAAGGTACGGACGATGGCGATTTAAAATTCAATTACCTATCAACATTCGGACCAAGATTCCGCAAATTAGCCGACATGTATGGTGATTCGGATGAGGATAGACCACCGCACGAAGAATCCTGGTGCTAGCATCGCGCCTGGCTTGTGTAGCCAACTAACAACCTTACGACTGTTCCATAAGGGCGATAGTCCAGTGTCAGTGCTTGATATATCAAGTTGCCTTAAGAATGAATGTGTTTAGTGTTGTGACCGGAGGACCCCACCGTCGGATTAATAAGGTAATATTGCCTGTGATAATATACACGATATCTGCGTATTGAAGGATGAATGTCACTTGAGTCCGACTAATTAAATCTAGTTTAAGTGATGACATATAAACGATTTTGTTACGTCGCTTTAAGTGTGATTTGTTTACACGTAAATTTTTGTATTTTCTTTTTATGAATATTGTAAATTTTTTTGTAGTTGTCTAAAATGGCAATTTTTCACTGTTAATAGTGAGTATGACATTTTATTTGTACATGTGACGTCATGACGGCCTAAGGATTTATAGAATGTTTTAAATACTCTAAAACGTATATATACTTGTCAATTTGAGGATTCATTTGACAGTATTACCTAAAAGAAAGAGAGAACAACTCTGTCTCTTTCTATTTGATCCGAAGGAGTCAGGAAGCCCAATCAAATTACGTTTCAATATTCGAACGAATTGATATTGTCTTAAAATATTGATGTTGAAACAATACGACAGCTAATTTAATTATGTAAATTAACAATTGGACAAATTAGTTTTGTCTATTTTAAGGAAATGACTGAATTACGTAACGTTTTTTAGGCATTATAGTTACTTACGCCTATAAAAATTATCGCGTTAAGTGACATTTAAAACGATTAAAAGTAAGTAAAATTATTTTGTATTGTAAACTTCGAAAGGGTATTTCGATATATGATTTTTTTATTGTGACCAAACTTTTTCTTATTATATTTAGTTTTTTTTTTATATATATTTAAATTAAGTGCCATTGTTATATTCTTTATTAGTTAATTTTGTAGCCACTACCATTTCATTTTGTAAATAATAACGGTGTGCAAAAATTATAATTCCAGTTAATTCACCGCTAAAGTTAAACTACCTTTAAATGCACTTGAATGAGTCTTATGGCACCGACATACGATAGAAATTGGCGGTTACAATCTTTTTTTATTTTTTTTTACTGAAATTTATAAGTATGATACGGCTTGAAACACCTACTTTTACTTTTAATTGTCTGATTAAACTCATACCTTCTCATCGAATCAAAAAAGGATATAATCGTTTGTCACGCACTTTTTCACACAATTTTGTACTTTAATGATACTTGCAAAGAGGTCAATTTGATATATTCCAAGAGTTAACAGAATACTCTCTGCTCCTATCGTTACTGTTGAGAATTGATTGTTGCTCTATTTTAACGAGGTAACTTCAATCCAATCACATTTGTATTAGTTGCAACAAGCGACGGCAGTTATTTTACTATCCCACTATAGTTGCTAGATTACTGTTAAATGGCATTTAGTATTGATCTTAATATTTAGTTAAATTATATTTTATTACAAACCGATTACAGCACTTATATTATAACTGAATATTTTTAAACAATTTTTTTTCATGTTGAAAATTATTTTTTTCTTTATATTTTAATTGAGAAAGATCACGAAGTTTTGTTTTGTTTGTCAAAATAACCTGAACTAATAAAGGCTCACAATTAAGATTTTATTAAGATAGACTCCTCCGAGACGAACGATGTTTATTTTCGCTTTTATTTAGCTGTTTATTACCGACTGAAGATTTCTCGATAGTTAACCTCTTATTTAACATTTTAGAGTTTAACCAGATCAAAAAATATTTTTTGGTACTAATAATATAATTGCCATTAAGATACTCTGAAGGTTATTTTCGATACTTATCATAGACAACAGCGTATCATAGATTTATACAAATCTGACAATTTTCTCCACTTAATTTAAACATAATTCATTGAAAGTTAAATTTCGAAACATTAATTTAGTACATGGTAGTGGTTATCACACTCGCATCCCGATTTAAATATGAATGTTTTTTTTTAAATGTAGATAAGTTATTTTGTACTATGTTGTGACGTATTTTAATTAATGAGCCATTCGTCCTGCTTTATTTATACAAATTGTATAAAGATACTAAAAAATAAAAGAAAAATATTTTTAATTGTGTTTTTTTACTCCTAAACTATCCTTTTTATATTGAAGTATTATAGGCAGCTTAAGAATTTTTTTCACGTCGAATACCTAGTTGCATTGTTAAAATTGGCCTGAAAATTTAATATTTAAATGTTTTTAAGTGAATATATATAAATTAAGTTAGTTTATAAATTGTAAATATGTAAAATATTGATTGATATACGCCGCGTTTGTAACTTAAATGTTCTGCAGTATTTACAGGAGTAAGTATAATAGGCGAATACAAGGTGTCTTAAAATTATGCATATCAACAATTGTAAGGTTTACTACTTTGTTGTTCTAACAGTTGGTACTTCTCAATGTGACGTATTGTATTGTATTCGTAATAGAAAACTAAATATTATTACAATTTTCTACATTACATTGTTAAACCATATGACCAAGCTATTATTAATATTACAATCTTATCAAAAGAACCTCATTCTGAAATTTTATGGACAACATTACCAAATATTTACATTTTGATTAAAACAATAATCATGAAGTACAGTCAGCAAGTTAAAAGTTATACTTATTAAAATATAACTTTTTACACAATCACTACCTGTCAGTCTTTTTAATTCGTGTTTTTTATTATATTTGTCTTGTACAGTTACAAAAAGAAAGTCTGTGACGTAATAGATACTTTCATTTGACTTAAAAGATACCGGATAAAGTAACGGTATATCAAGCAAACAAAACTGTAAAGTTTTACCATGATTTTATATTTTAACACGTTGAATTTTAAATTCAAGATCGAATCAAATTTTGATGTTTTATTATCACATGATAATACCGGTATTTTTTTTAGCAAAAACCGAAACTATATTAAAGCAAAATGCAATTACTACCTTTTTAATTGGAACCAACTTGTCTTGTTTCTGGATTTTTCTATTTGTTATCTTTTCGATTTCGGAGAATTGCCCGTGTTCACCATCTGTTGTGTCCATTCTTATTAATTTCACTAAACAAAAGCCGTCTAGACTATCCTAGAATTCTTCAAAGTTATTGTTTTTTAATTTTCATAAGGAATCAGAAAATTAACCATTTACTTCACGTATTTTCTTAATAGAGACCACTGTAATGAGAAATGAAGTCGATAATAAAAAATAGAATTTATTTAATTTAGCAGTGGTAATCTGTTAAAATACAGCGTCGAATTCAGCGCTATCACATCAGAGGTGTGATCAAATAATACCTACTTTAGAAGAAAGCTTTTTCGGTGGCGTAGTGGATAAGCGCCGTGATCGTTGTTGCTAAAAATTGTCGGTCACGGAATGGGTGACCAATAAATTATTATCTCGAGCTACTCCGTACTTCGGAAAACATGTTAAACTGTTGGCCCCGGCTGTAGTTGCAGTCGTTTATACCCTCCAATCCATGTAGGGCCAGCGTGCAGGGTTATGGCCCATCCTAAGCCTCTGCACTGGAGACGTAAAAGGACTGATAAAGAAGACTGTTTTTTTTTTGTTGGAATCTCTGGATCTTTGACAGCGTCTGTATTCGACGCTGTGTTTTTGCAGAATATCAATGCAGATTGATTTATTCCGTGGATGTTTCATTATTTGTACGTACGGTATATTTTTCGCTAAGTCCATTAGATAAATATAGATTATAATAAGTTTGTAAAAATATTTCAAGAAGACATTCCAGTAAAGTATAAAACACTCGATATATGTAACTGTTGATGTATTATTATATAAAAAAAATAGTCTTATCGGATCAATTATTCGTACTTAGAAAATTCTGTCGGTGGACATTTTTCGATTTATTTTTCTTTCTAGAATTAAGTTTGTATTTCGTTCGTAAGTGTACACATCCAGAAATGGTCACCGATTGATGGAGAATATTGAAGTTTTGAACCACTGCCATTAAAAAAAAAATGTAATTATTATTATAGTAGAATTAACGAACATGACGTTTTTTAATCACCATTATTCGTTTCTCGAGAAATATTATAGTCATTTAAAATTTCTCTGCATATAAGTTTTTGTTAATAAATATATCTTTTAAATTATGTTAATGAAACCTATACAGATAACTGTAATTAGTGCAAAGAAATCATGTGGAAGAAAAAACGTGTTACAATTAATGATCGCTTTTATGGCCGCTTATTGTCAATATACCTACAGTTTATTTACTACAATTCAAATAAACATGTTATATTAAAACATATTTTTCGTAAATACGTTCTATTAACTATAGTACAGTTCAGGAAAAAAAATGTATGCACTAATTGCAAACTTATTCTGTATACTGTATAACAGAACCTCTGGTTAAACGGAACTGTCAAATTTCTTCATTCTACTAATTTTAAACTTTAATACATTGGGCGTAGGATCAAACGTGATCGCACGAATTTGACGTTTTTTAGTGTTAACCCGAGGTGCTGCTGTGTGTACCTACTACGTATTTTAGCTAATTATATGACATTATTTTTATTTGTTTGCATTTCTGCTGTAAAAATGTGACTAACTGTAGTTGTTTTAATTGATGAGGGTAGATATCACATTTGTATGTTTATGTTTAAAAATAATGAAATCGTAAAAAACTTTTTTTAGATATTGTCAAAACTCTTGATTGCTCTATTATTTTGCATTTATATTTAATTATATAGTTAGTAAAAATATTTGGCAGTTGAAAAAGGACCGTTATTATAAGTGAATAGGTTTCTTATTTAAAATTTAAGAAATTCAATGTGATTTCTTTTTTAAACAAATGCTATTCTTATTTTGTCTTATACTCATTTGTACGTGTGTACAATACAAGTGTGTGCGAAAGAGAGAACATTAAAATGAAGAATGTAATGTACTTTAAAGTATAAATAACTAGGAACGGTGTATCCGACTGAAATATTGTCATATTACTTTATAAGTAGCATGTAAGGTGGTATG